CATTATGACTGGATTTGTTGAATCATGTATTTCAATTTATCCTAGGCAAATTGTAGTACATACTCAGAAAATTGTGAAAATTAGATGTCGTATCCTAATAATGTAAAATATTTGTTACTATAAAAAAATTGGAAAGAAACTAAACATTAAATTGTGGAACTAATGTGGAAGAGAAAAGGTGCAGATGAAATACTAAGAAAACAAGAAAGTTGGGTATTACACAGTTATATTACAAAGTGTTTTAGCCCAAAAATATCACTGAATCGATTTAACAAAAGTAAAGGATTCAATAAATAAATAAATAGGCAGAGCACAACCCCCTTCTAAAGTTACCTTGCCTCCTGCAGTTCGAGGGTTTTACACATCAGAACATAATAAAAAAGATCTGAGTTCTAAAATGACACTTTAAGTATAAAAAACACAAAAATCCATCATGTTGTTAATGAAACAAAAATAAAGCTAGAATGAAAAATCTGTGAAAAGTTTCCTTCCAGTTTAAGAGGAAGAACTTTCAGATCATAAATTGGATGAATTATTGGTTAAACTGAGTCAAGATGGTGGCCACGGCTAACTGAAGAGCACTTTCTTTTTACAAAGGCTTTAGAGTCAAACTAGACTTTACAGGAGGTAAATGGTCCAAACACAGAGGAACACAATTGTGCTTCCTGTGTGAAAAGTGTTGAAGTGATTCAGCAACACTGCTACTAAAGGGTCTGACAACCTTCTTACACTCTTTTACGACGCTGACAAGAGAACTGAATTTCTTGGAGGCGTTTCTATAAAACTCACCCTGATTTTCAGGCTTTCTGGCATCATTTTCACTGAGAGGATGTGTGTGTGTGTGTGTGTGCTCGCTGCACAAACCAAAGACCACGAGGATTTAAGGCAGAGTACTGCTGCCATCTAGTGGCCAAAGAGGAACACATAATTTGCTGGATAAACAAAAGCTAAATAATTCTGATAAAATACAAAAATACAGCTCGAGTTTATTAAGGATGAGTTAGGCGTTCAAATGTTCAACCACAAACAACAACAAGAATATAAATAAATAAATAAAAATTAAGTGTTATTGGTTATACAAAGCTTCTTCTTATCCCCAGCTTTCATCAGAGCCTTTATGGCCCTCGCCCTCATTTCCAGCTCCAGCAGCTCCAGCTGCTGAATCGAAGGCTGACTGGCGGAATCCACGTCGAGACCCTGCGCCGCCGCCGCCGCCGCCTTCGATTCCGCTTCTCCAGCTTGACCGGCGGCCGGCGCCAAGATCTCACTGACGCTCCTGTCTATATCGCTCTGAAYGTCTTTCTTCGTCTCGGGGTCGGCCGGCTCGTCGGGCTTTGCTGCCGGGTCGGAGCGCTCTCCTCTGCCGTCGCCCGCCTTCGCCCCCGTGTCGGCGGCCTTCGGGGGCGGCTCGTCCTTGGGGCCCTCGATGTCGCTGTCGTAAGTGTCTGCGTTTATGCTCAGGACGTCGCTCTCCTCGCCAGAACCGGCCACATCTGGGAAACAAAAAATCAATAATGTTCTTTTTTTTAGGTTTTGGACTAAATCTTCAAGAATAAAAGTACACGAATAGACAAAAACTTCTGTTTTTACTCATGTTCAAATATCTCATTAACCACAATTCACTGAAAGTATTTATTTACAACTGGAGTCAAAATGATTCAAGATGCCTCTACTCAACATTAATCCACGATTAGTTGTAACATTAAACTTTATTTGATAAACATGTATTTTAACTGTAAAATAAAGACTGTAAAAATACTGTAGGATGTTCAGTTTTGTAAATTTTTTAAAATATATTTTAACAAGGACTGAGCCATTTTATTTACACGCAAAGCATTCTGGGTAAATGATGACGTGCATAGGTCATCGATACGAGGCTGCTAGCGAGCTGTATCCACCCTGAAGGTTAATCTTGGACAATATCTGATGATCGACTCTTTTAAATGAAACCAGAGGCTGTTTAGTTTTGTAAATTTTTAAAAACATA